AAAAAAAAAAATGAAATGAAAGAAGAAATGAATTGAAAAATGGAGAAAAGACATATGGCAAAACCCAAGTGGGATTTAAATGGGGGAAGATGCTGAGGTTGGGAAGAAAAGGAGTGAAAATGTAGGAAGAAGTTCAAATGAGTAATAAAATGGAAGGAGCACGTAGTTGGTGGATTTCCCACGAGACGTTTGGCTAGAAAACTGTTGAATTGTCTCGATAATTGTACATTATTTTTTTTTTCCATTTTCTTTGATACGGTGGCACAGGGAGCGAGGGAGGGAGGAATACGAAAGAGATGACGGGGAGCTGGGAAATACACGCGTAAGAATCAAGTTGGTGAGGGATGTCGGGACCTAGAAAGATTGGATGGGAGGGATGGTGTTTTGATGATGTAAATTATGTAATTACGTAATTTACGTGTAAGGTGGGGTGATCTGTAGATGACAGTGAAGTTTGAACTAATTCGTACTAACTTAAATCTCAGAAAGAGTCTAGCAAGGGATTTGTTGGTTACCTCGAGAAAAAATATTCACACATCTAAAATTTGGATTTTATATTCAAATTTTCTCTTTTTGAAATTCTTTATTATTAAAAAAAAGAAAAAGAGTCTTAGAAAAAGTGGATCCTAAATTACCAGTATACGACATCAGATCTGGTTTAATGGCGAAATCATTCATGTGACTTTCTAAGTCTGAAAAACATACTATAGTTATCATGTTAAGATATTCACATCCAGTTGTACAGTATCGTGGTTTTTAGTGTGAAAAATGTTGCAATCAAAGTAATTTTAAAATGAAAAATGATTTTCTTCGTACACTTGGAATTGAGATGTGATCTCCTGGAATTTTAAAGTCAGTTTTTTATTGGTTTAAATATCATTTAGATCCCTTAACATTTCACTTTGACACTAAAATTATCTTTAAATTTTAAAAAATATCAAAATTATCTTTAAACTTTCATTTTGATATTAAAATGATCTTTCCATTGGTTAAATGCTGACGTGGTCAAAATCTCTGTTAAGTAATTCACTTTCTTTTAATACTAAAATTAGGTGGAAAATAAACTGATGATTTGTCATTTTTTAATTTATGTGAAAATTTTTTAATTAAGTGACATGGACTTAATTGAAATAATTATTAAATAAAATTTTAAAATTACCTTAATGCCCCTTAGTTGTCTTCTTCCCTTGGCTTCTAGGTCTGGTTTCTCCCTCTTACATTTTCTTTTTCTTTTTCTTTGTCCAATTTCTACCTCCTCTCCTATTTCACACACCCATTCACACACCCACCCCCATTTCCTCTCGTTTCATTAGATCAGGGTTTGATTTTCATCTTCATCATCCTTTGTCAATTTCTTCTTTCTTTTTCTTTCTCTCTCCTCCCTTCTTCTTCATCTTCTTTTTCTTTTTCTTTTTTTCTCTATTCTGTTGATCTGTGTTCAAAACTTCAAATACCTGATGGCTTTTCGCAAAGGAGAACTTGATTTGGATTCAAAGGTGTTTTGGGTCCTTAGATCTAGATCTGGGTTGTTTGATGTTTATTTTGATTGTTATAACTTTGGGTTTTTATCCCTTTGTAAATTTCGTAATTAATTTCAGTTGGGTATGTGAGAAATAGAGAGGAAAGGAAGCAATTGAGGGTTGGATTTTATATTTTTCCAGTTCAAATTTGGCGATCTATAAGAAAGGTAAAGTTTTGGGCTTGGTTGATGTGAGAAATAGAGAGGAAAGGAAACAATTGAGTTGTTTGAGAATGGACTGCATAGGGAGGAATATTGGAGGTGAGGATGGTGGAAGTTTTGGGCTTGGTCGATGTTGGTGCAGGTTTCTGATTGGATCTAGATATGCTGTCATTGACGTGAGATTACTGAAAACTGTTAGATTTAGGGGATGTACTGGGGAAGGGGATGACCTGGGGAGATTGACGAGGAAGAGATATGGGGGGAACGGAAGAGGAATGGTGGAGGAGGTAGAAGCTTAGAGAAAGAGAAAGGAAAACAAATTTGCAGCAAACAAGAAAAGAAGAAGAAGAAGAAGAAGAATCAGATTGAGGAGTAAGGAAGAAGAAGATTTTTTTTGGAAATTTTAATTAATTATTAATTAACTAATTATGAATGGTATCTTAAAATTAAAATGCCACCTGTAAAAATGTGCCATCTCAACACACTTTATACATGTGTTTTTTCCACATCATTGTTCTTTTAAAGAAAGGGGGATTTTTTTTGGCAACTTAACGTGCCATCTGTTCATTTAATATGTTATTTGTCCATTTAATTGACGAAAGGGCTATTTTAATAAAAAATAAAAATTTTAAAATAATTTGATATTTTTTAAAGTTAAGGGACAATTTTAATACAAAAGTAAAAAATTGAGGGACCAAAATAATATTTAAACTATTTTTTTCCTCGAAAGGGTCACCTTTAAATTTACTTGAGTTAAATAAATTATTAAATTTTTATTTTAATTTGATTAATAATTAAATTTTTTTTAATAATTA